GCATAAACAAAGAGAGTATGGATAAGTTATAGAAGTAGAAGGAAGAAGTAAAATCTGTAACTCGAATGCACACATAGTCGTAACTAATAATGAAGTACACGATAGGGGGTCATGCTGGTGATGCCTGAAATAGAGTGTGACCAGAGCGATCGTGGCCGTAGCCATGGTAAAAATAATGACCGGAGTCAATGTGGCCGTAGCCATAGTAAGAGATGATGACCGAAGTTATGGTGGCCAGAGCCGTGATAAAAAATGATGACCAGAGTAATAATGGCCGGAGCCGCGATAAACTATAAAGATCGGAGTCATAATGAAATATAATGACCGGAGTCATTATGGCCGGAGCCGAAGCGAAACATATGACACTGGGTCACTGTGGCGGTAGCTGAAGTGAAACGTGTGACAATAAGTCACTATGGCCGAAGCCGATGTGAAATGTAATGCAGGATTATTGTGGCCGAAGTCGAAGTGAAACACTTGCAAAATTTGAGAATGTGTAAAAGTGAGCGAGGGTGTTGAAATGGGCTTAAGTGGGCCTGTCTGAGAAGTCTGACAAAGGGGTAGTACGTGGTGTGACAGTTGTCCTTTGAATGACGTGCGCAATAAATGTGGCTGTAAAAAGATAACTGCAACAGTTAAATGGGCAGATTTAAAAAACGAACCGTCAAATTCAAAACGGTGTCGTTTAGGGTTGACCGTTGAATTCCAAACGGTGTAAATAGGAACCGTTAGATTAAACGAATCCCAGCCGTTGAGATCTAATTTTGCCCATAGGTATAAATAAGCATTTTTTCTGTAGAAAGAAGTTTACTTGTATTTCATTTTCTGCAAAATTTCTGCAAAAAGCTTTACTATGTGCTTTCTGCGCGTGAACTGCTGCATCATTTGGGGATTTCCACATCAAGCTTACGAAACCGAAATCAGGTAATGTATACGAACCTCTGATTTTGGTTTAGTCGAAGTGTCACTCTCCTTTCTCCCTTTCTGTGGTTGATTTAGAGTCCTCTGAAGGAAGTTAGGGTTAGAAGTGAGAATGATTTTGAATGTGCGTTAGAGGGGGTTGTTTTTTGTTTTTGTTTTTGTTTTTTTTTTAAAAGGGGTCTTGACTTCATTCCTCCCCCTACTTCGTGCAGAAAATAAGAAAATGTCTTCAGAAGATACAATGAGTGTGGTAGGAAGTAAGGTAATGCCCTTGGAGTATGAGAGCATGGACACGGAGAGTAGTTCGTCTCCAACTAGTTCGGAGAAAACGGTGGAGGGGGTGAGAGGAGATGAGGTGGTGGAGGTTAGGGGGAATGAGATGGTGGGGGTTGAGAGGGATAGTGTGCCTATCATTGTGGTAGAAGTAGAGGGTAGAGGAGAAAGGGGGTATGAAATAGATGCAGATATAGTGGAGAAGGTGAAGCAGTACAGATCTGAACTTGGGACTAGGGATAGCCTGGGTCATTTAGTGGAGAATTACGAGATCTCTTCCCGAGTGTTAGTTAGGCCAGCTGGGGTAGAGGAAAGAGCATGCTCTGCTCCTCGGGATCATTGGATGCCTGTGTATGCCCACTATTTGTTAGCTGAGCTCAGGTTTCCAATCCCTGAGTTGCTAGTAGGTTTGCTGTTAGATTATAGTATAGGGTTGACACAGTTAGTCCCCAACGCTATGAGGGTAATAATAGGATTTTTAGTTTAGTACCGAGCTCAAGGGATTAGTGTGCCAACCATAAATATGTTTAAGTATTTTTTTGTTTTGAAGGGGGGTAGTAGGAAGGATAAGGGGTGGTATTATTTCACCCCTAGGGTAGCAA